GTTATGATGTTTGTTTGACTGGTGGATCCTTAAGTAGCGAGTTCCGATTTCTCAGGCCTCTCTTTCCTGTCTTTTCGGTGGGAGATGCTAACATCACAGGCAACCACTGGACTTCTTCTGGACCCCAAGATATATCTGAGCAGGTTGAAATTAATGGCGCAAAGAAAGAGGTGAGGAAAACATGCAATTATCTGGCCTTTTTCTATCTATTTCCACTTTTTTGTGTTTTTGCTCTTTTAGTTATTCCTGAGCAACTATTTTGTTATTTGTTAAGGAACCAAGGATTGGCTTTAAGATTTAGTTTATAGTAGAGATCACCATTCCTTCTACAATTATTGTACTGTTTTAAAAAGTCTTTTTTTTAATTATCTTTTCCAGTATGGAAAGATGTGGGGACAGGATGCCAAGATACTGGGATATTTACTGGATGGTTGCAACATGACTTCTAGGCACATTTTTCTAGTGCATTAGGAAAAATAGTTTTTTTCCCTCACCTCCTCCTTCCACCCATCCCAAATTCCATAGGTACAAACTTGTATCATACAAGGCAAATATCTAAGGTATTTTAACCATGATAGTAAATGAAGGTTTATAAGTTGTTGTCAAAGGACTAACAAGGATGGAAATGTTTGTTTTAAATCTGTTTGCAAGTGCTGCATATAGATGCTTTTTCATGCATTGTTAAATTAATGAACAGTTTTCACTCAGGGCACAGATTACCAGGCTTAAATTATTCTTCTTTGGACACTTTATGCATAGGCTACTTGGAAAGATGGAAAGAAAGAGAAGATGTGGTCATACACCCAGGAAGGAATGTAACAAATAGTTGATATCCCAGGGAGAAGAGTTGAAACATTTTATGTTCAGATTATAAGGGGTATGCAGATATCTTCTCAGCCCTCCTTCTCGACCATGCAATATACAGGTCTTCTATGGAAGGCAGTATGGTTGCAATTGCTTTTCCTTTGAAGTCTGTACCCGTCCTGTTGGTTGCTGTACAGCTACAAAAGTAGGAATAACCAACTCAATAATTTGTTTGTAAAACTGTATCAGCAGCTCTTGAGGCTGTCTGAAGTTCCCAAGATGATGCAGGAAAAACATTCTTTGTTGTGCCTTTTTAATGATGGTTTTAACGTTGTGTCCATTTCAAATCCTGGGAGATTATAGAACCCCAAAATCTGAAGGACTCTATTGTTGATACTGTGCTGTCTAATGTGGTAAGAGGCAGTAGAATAGAAGAGCTCCTTCTAAAATCCATTCTCATCTCTATAGTTTTAAACATGTTCAGCTCCAGATTGTTACAGCTGCATCACAGGGCCAATTTTTCAACAACCAGCCTACATCCAGACTCATCACCATCTAAAATGTGTCTAACGATCATTGTATCAGACTTCAGATTTAGACTTCAGCAAGGCATTCAACAAAGTGGACCACAACTTACTTCTTGGTAAGCTAGAAAAATGTGGGATAGATAGCATCACCATCAGATGGATTTGAAACAGGCTGACAAACTTATTACTTAATGGTACTACATCTACATGGAGGGAAGTAAGTAGTGGGGTACCACAAAGTCCTGTCTTAGGCTCAGTACTCTCCAATATCTTCATAAACGACCTAGATGAGGGAATAGAAGTAGAATTTAGCTGGCAGGAATAGCTAACACCTGAGAAGATAGGCTCAAGATCCAAATGGATCTTGATAGACATGAACACTGGGCCCTATCTAACAAAATACAATTCAATGTAGAGAAAAGTGAAGTCCTACACTTAGGCAAGAAAAACCCAAAGTACACATATAGACTGGGTGAAACCAGGCTTAACAGCAGTAACTCTGAAAGGAATCTTGGAGTCTTAGTGGACAACCAATATAATATGAGCCAACAGTGTGCGGCAGCAGCCAAAAAAAGCCAGTGCAATCCTAAGTTACATTAACGGAGGGATACAATCAAGATCAAGGGAGGTACTAATACCACTCTATAAAACCTTAGTAAGACCACACCTAGAGTTCTGCATCTAGTTTTGGTCACCGCATTATAAAAAAGATGTTGAGACTCTAGACAGAGTGCAGAGAAGAGCAACCAGGATGATAAGGGGACTGGAGGCTAAAACATACGATGGATGGTTGCAAGAACTGGGCCTAGCTAGTCTAGTGAAGAGAAGGCCCAGGGGAGACATGATAGCAGTCTTCCAATATTTGAGGGGCTGCCACAGAGAGGAGGGGATCAACCTGTTTTCCAAAGCATCTGAAGGCCAGACAAGGAAGAATGGATGGAAACTGATCAAGGAGAAATTCAACCTGGAAATAAGGAGAAACTTTCTGACAGGGAGAACAATCAAGCGATGAAACAGAAGTTGCCTTCAGAAGTTGTGGGAGCCTCATCCCTGGTAGCTTTCAAGAAGAGACTGGACTGCCATCTGTCAAAAATGGTGTAGGGTCTGCTCGGGGGGGGGGGGTTGGACTAGATGACCTACAAGATCCCTTCCAACTCTGATAATCTGTATCTGTATCATCTGCAAACTTCAGAACTTTAACAAAGGGTTCCCTTAAGGCTTAAATATTAATATTGATATCACATCAGAAGGGACATCTGAAACATGTATTCAAAAATATGTAACGTGATTAAAGATATTATCATCTTCACCAATCAATCTATGATTGGCTAAATTCAGTTTTGTTTTATTGATGCAGAAATAAAAATAAACAATGGGAAGGGTGTGTGGAATGTTGAAGCAGTAGCTATTAAGGTAAATAATGATATTGAATATAACAAACCTAATGGCAGGATAGATTTGAAACAAGCTTTCTCTATAAAACTCTCAGATTCAAAATGTAAGAGGTTGGAAAACTTTGCTGGAGTTGTGCAGGTTCAGCTGCATTAAATGATCAATTGTTTGTTGTAGTATAAGGGAGGTGTTAAAAGTATCTTTTGGATTAATTATAATTTGCATAGTTGAAAATAGTGAATGATGCCTTTGCCAATGAAATACGTTCAACAATATTGCTGAGATTCAAGATATAGATCTCCCAGCAGTATTCAGGAAACCAATCTGATACATCCAGTGATTCTGTCAAACCATTATAACATTAATGTGCATTGGTTTTCCAATCTAAAACTGACCTAGGTCTGTCCACTAGCTATTCCCTTAACAAACCATAAATCCCTAACATGCTCTTCAGGATGCATGGGACCTGATGCAAATTGTAATATATCAATGTACCCATGTACATGGTAAACATAATAACCTAAGCTGATTCTCATTGGGTAATCCTATCATAGACATTGTTATTTTAGGTAACAAGAAAGAGAGGAAGCCAGTGTTTGTCTCCGTTGCAGGTTGTCCTGGGTAAGAGTGCTGGATATTTATTTGTTTGTTTGTTAAATTTATTTGCTGTCCATCTCGCTGGGGCTTAGAACAGAAAAGCAGAGAAAATTATAAAAAATGAACAGTAGCAGAGCAATGAAAACAATAAAAATAAAGAAAAGTAAAGTAATATGAATTAAAAATGAGTGGATGGAGAGCAGGAAGTGTAGGGGAGAAGTGAGGTCAGCTAGTTAGTTCAGTAGCCACCTCCAGTGGGACCCTAAGCCAACCAGCAGAGCCAAGTCTTCAGCTCTTGTGGGAGGATAAAACTAACTAACTCAGGTAGGCAGGATGTTCCAGAGGCTACAGCAGCGAACGCTCTTCTTCTGGATCCCACCAGTCAAAGTTCCTCGACCAATGGGATCTGCAATAGGTCTCCTCTGCTGGCATAAGTTAGGGCAGGTTTGTCTTAGCGGGATGGTAATAGAAGAGGAGAGTTGGAACTTGAAAGTGACCTTGGAGGTCTTCTTGTCCTACCCACTGCCTAGGCAGAAAACCCTACACCACTTCAGACAAATGGTTATCCAATACCTTTTAAAAAAATTCCAGTGTTGGAGCATTCACAACTTCTGGAAGCAAGTTGTTCCACTGATTAATTGTTCTAACTGTCTAAGTTGCTTCTCTCCTCAATTAGTTTCCACCCATTGCTTCTTGTCCTGCCCTCAGGTGCTTTGGAGAATAGCTTGACTCCCTGTTCTTTGTGGCAGTCCCTGAGATATTGGAACACTGCTATCATGTCTCCCCTAGTCCTTCTTTTCATTAGACTAGACATACCCAGTTCCTGCAACCGTTCTTCATATGTTTTAGCCTCTAGACCCCTAATCATCTTTGTTGCTCTTCTTTGCATTCTTTCTAGAATCTCATCATCTTTTGTACATCGTGGTGAACAAAACTGAATGCAGTATTCCAAATGTGGCCTTACCAAGGCATTATAAAGGCATTAACACTTCACGTGATCTTGATTCTATCCCTCTGTTTATGCAGCCTAGAACTGTGTTGGCTTTCTTGGCAGCTGCTGCACACTGCTGGCTCATATTTAAATGGTTGTCCACTAGGGCTCCGAGATCTTTCTCACAGTTACTACTATTGAGCAAGGTACCACATATACTGTACCTGTGCATTAGATTTTTCTTGCATAAATGTAGAACCGTACTTTTTTCACCATTGAATTTCATTTTGTTAGATAGCACCCAATGTTCAAGTCTGTCAAGATCCTTCTGTATCTTAAGCCTAACTTCTGGTGTGTTGGCTATTGCTGCTAGCTTGGTGTGGTCTGCAAATTTGACGAGTTCCTCTCTATCCCCTTTTCCAAGTCATTGATGAAGATGTTGAAGAGTACTGGGCCTAAAACGGAGCCTTGGGATACTCCACTGCATACTTCCCTCCATGTAGATACAGTTTCATTGAAGACTACACTTTGAGTGCAGTTGGTCAGCCAGTTACAAATCCATCTGGTGGTGATGCTGTCTAACCCACATTTTTCTACTTTATCTAGTACTAGGTTAAGGTCTACTTTATCAAATGCCTTATTGAAGTCCCAAGTAAATTATATCAACAGCATTCCTCTGGTCAACTAATTTTGTCACTTTGTCAAAGAATGCAATAAGATTAGCCTGGCATGACCTGTTTTTAACAAACCCATGTTGGCGTTTGGTTCTTAGTTTGTTTGCTTCTAGGTGTTTGCTAATTCGTTGCTTGGTTATCTTTTCCAGAATCTTCCCTGGTATTGAGGTCAGGCTGATATGTCTGTAGTTTTCTAGATCTATTTTTTTTTCCTTTTTTGAAGATGGGAACTACATTAGCTTTCT